CCCCCCCGCCTTGGCCGTCCACCCGCCCTGTCTCTCCACAGGCTGAGCCCCTATGAGTGGTACAACCCGCACCCACCTGTGAGTGGTACAACCCGCACCCGTGCCTGCGGGCGCGCCCCCACATCCTCGAGAACCAGTACACGCTGGGCAACAGCCTCTGGTTCCCCGTGGGGGGCTTCATGCAGCAGGGCTCGGAGATCATGCCCCGGGCACTGTCCACGCGATGCGTCAGCGGAGTCTGGTGAGAACCTGTATCTGCCTCCGCCTGGGGCTGGGGAGGGCCCTTCTGAGGCCCGGGTGGTGACACTCCAGAGTGCTGCTGCAGCCCCTTAGATTCCCAGCTCCCCACTGAGAGTTGGATGGGTAGGAAGAACTGAGCCCAGCTCTGCCTGTCTTAGTTGTGTGACCTTAGGTAGGTCACGTCCCTCTCCATGCCTGGGTTTCCTTATCTGAAAAATGGGGGTGCAAACGCCCGTGTCTCAGGGCTGCAGGGATTCAGAGAGGCTGTGTGGAAGGTGCTCCGTGAGCTGACGCAGCACTCAGGACCCTAGTGGAACTAGGACTGCTGCCCTGCTCAGCACTTGAGCACAGCCTTCCCACCCAGACACTCCCTCCAAGCCCCACGGGCCCCAGTTCATGGACAGAGCTTGTCTCCCTAACACAGCCCATGCAGCTGCACGTCAGAGGGCAGACACCGACAACTTGAAACGTCTGGCCCCAGTTTTAAAAAAATTGGGAATTAGACATCAGCACTTAAAAGTCGGGCTCATTCACTCACAAATCAGATTTCTCATTCTTCTTTTCATTTATTTACCTCTTCCGTGAGTGGGAGAGAGGTAGCTCCCCCTTGGAACCACCATCCAGCCCCAGCCCACCCCGGATCACAGCACTCACATGCCGGATACGCTCGGGGGTCTCTGATTCACACCGGTGACCTTGCTGTGCAGGCCCGACTTGCAGACCGCCATGTTTCACTGCGGCGCCGCCTTCTGGCCCCTCTCTCCTTAAAAATCCATGGGATCTGGTGCTTCTGGCCTGGCCTCCAGAGCGCCCACCTGCCGCCCTGGTCCTGGCGATAGCAGCTGGGCTCACTTACAGTTCCTGCATTCTTCTTGCCTCCTTTTTCTCATTAGAAGCACAGAAAGCTGAGGAAATGCTGAGGGTAGGGAATGTTCTTCCTGTTTTATGGATAGAAACAGACCCAGGGACCAGCAGTTGGTGTAATGGCTATGTCGCTAGACTCCCATGTAGTCAACTGCAGTTCGAGTCCTGGACCCGGTGGCTTAAACTCACGGCGGGAGTGTGTGTGTGTGTCCAGAGAGGAGAATGGATGAGAAGAGATTGTGGTGTGGCCATCCCCCTGGGGTGTGAGTTCTTGCTTTCATGTCTCTCTGTCTCTCTCTGTCTTGTGGCAAGTGCACGCGCCCTATAGCAAAAACTTCTCCAAAAAAAAAAAAAAAAAGAAAAGAAAAAGAAAAGAAACAGATCCAGGGACCAGCAGGTGGCGTAGTAGTAAGGTGCTGGACTCCCATGTGGTTGAAGATTGTTTGAGTCCCCAACCCAGCAGCTTGAACTCATGCCAGTGTGTATGGGTGCGTGCCCATGATCCCTAGAGAGTGGATTGTGGCATAGCCATACCCCCTTGGAGGTGGTCTCTGTCTCTCTGGTGAGCACATGTGCCTTGTAGCAAAAAAAAAGAAAAAAAACTTCAAAAAAAAGAAGAAAGAAAACAGACCTAGAGGGGCCTGCAGGTGGCATGGTGGTTAACGTGCTGGACTCCCACATGGCTGACTGTGGTCAGAGTCCTGGATCTGGAGGCTTGCTTTCTCACTTTTCCTTTCTATGTCACTGGTGAGATCACGTGCCCACTAGCAAAATTAAATAATAATACTGAGTAAATAAATGACTTAAAATAATTATTTAATTTTATTTATTATTATTATTATTATTATTATTATTTAATTTGCAATGGGACATGTATGCTCATGAGAGAGAGAGAGAGAGAGAGAGAAAGGAAGCTGCCAGGTCCAGGACTCAAATCACAGTTGACTGTGTGGGGAGTCCAGCACCTTAACCACCATACCACCTACTGGACCCAATAAATCAGTTTTTAAAAAAGAATTATTTTATTTAACTATTTATTTATTTTAATTTGACCAGAAAGGGACAGACTGAGAAAGTGGGTGGTGAGAAAGCAAGCTACCAGGCCTGGGACTCAAACCATGGTCAGCCATGTGGGAGTCCAGTGCCCTTAATCACCATGCCACCTGCCACCCGCCCCCCCAATAAATAATTTTTTAAAAAAGAAAGGAAAAGAAAGCAGACCTAGAGAGGAGCAACTTATTTGCTAAAGACCATGCATTGAGTTAGAGGCAGGGCAGACCAGACTGGGCTCCCTCCCCCATGCCAGCTGTCCTTCCTCACTATCTGGGCCCAGCCCAGGTCCCCAGGCCTGTAGTGGCCTCTCCTGGGCAATCTGTCTCCAACCTTCTTAAGAATGCTTCTTCCTCACCTACTCCCTGTCAGAATTCACAGTTCTTTCATAGACACTTCTCAAGCCCCTCCATGTGCCAGGCACCCGGGTAAAGAAACAGCCTCGATCCCGCCCCTGGTCAGAGGAACCCACAATAAACATGTAAACAGGTAAACCCTGGCCATCTGGGTCCAGCAGGTGGGTTAGTGGTTAAGGTGCTGGATTTCCACATGACCGACTACGATTCAAGTCCTGGACTCAGGGGCTCGACACTCATGCCAGACATGTGTGCATGCATGCCCAGGATCCCAAGAGAATGGAGAAGGGATTGTGGCATGGCCATCCCCCTCCGAGGGGTGATTTCTCACTGTCTCTCCGGTGAGCACATGCACCCTATAGCAAAAATCTCTCATAAAAAGAAACACTGCCTGCCTTGTCTTATTCAAGTATGTCCCAAAGCTACTGTCTAATTTGAAACATGTTCAGTTCAGGACTAACCTTAATGAGCCGCTGGTGTTTCTCCCAAGTAAGTGGAACTGCCATATGGCGGCGATTGGCATTTCGCTTGGTCCACTGGTTTTGAGACTTTTGAATCTTGATGATTTTTTTTTAAAAACATTTTTGGATTTGCATCATTTCAAATGTTACCATGTATGTTTCCTGTGCGAAAAACGACCACGAATGAAGTGGCTTAAAACATATATCAATGTGTCCTCTTACAGTTCTGAAGGCCAGAAGTCTGAAGGAGCTCTCACTGGGCTAAGATCAAATTGTTGGTAGGGCTGGCTTTTCTTAGAGGCTCTGAGGGAGATTCCCTTTTGCCTTCTCCAGCTTTTCGTTGTTGCCAACGTTCTCTGGCTCATGCCTCCTTCCTCCATCTTCAAAGCCAGCAGCTTGACATCTTTAGATCTCTCTCCGACTCTGATTCCCTTCCTCCACTGATTAGGACCCCTGGGCCCACCTGAGTAATCGGGATAATCTCCCCATCGCAAGCTCCTTAGCTTGATCACATCTGCAAAGGCCTTTATACCACGTAAGGCGCGTGTTCACGTTACAGGGATCAGGAGGTGGACATGCTCGGTGGTGATGTCACACGGGTCTTACTCTGCCTCCCACACAGCTCAAGTGAAATCCAGTAATATTCTCAGCATAGCCATGGATCAGATTCTCACCAAATGTTCTAGAGAGGCAGCAAAATGGGGGTGGTCAGAGAAGACCTCGGGGAGGCGAATGTGGGTTAAGTACTTAGGGCTGATACAGGTCGTCCATGCGTGGGAGAGGAAGGAACATTCTAGACAGAAAAAGGTGACTGAGTGGGCAGTGACAAATCTAGTCCTGTGTTGGGGTGGGGGACAGTAATGGCCTCCCTACACACCACCCTTCCTCCTTTGCCCCTGGGCTCACTCTCTCCAGCACCCTGAGTCTTCCCACATGTTCTCACACTCAACAGGTGTGTATTAGTCTCTAGATGTGACCCTGGCTGACTCAGCCAACCAAGTTGCTCCCCCCACTGGCCTCATTCTGGTGGTGGGCCAGTGGGAGGTGGTGACGTTATCCCAGGGGTAGCAGCGCTACCAGAACCTGCCTCCCGGGTCCTCACCACAGCCTCCTGTGGTCACACCCTCCTGCGGTCATCACTCAGAGCAGTACTGCCTGGAAAAGGACATTTCCAGGGTTTTGCTCTGTCCACAGCCCCTGGCCCTCCCGCTCTCCCTCGCTCACTCTGTGAAGTGCCACGAAGTGCGTTCTCAGACCTCCCTTGCCTGTTCTCTGAGTCCTGCTGGCTTCAATGGCCGTTCATCTCCAGGTTGGCTCTAGGCCATTCTCCAACCTTCTTAAGAATGCTTCTTCCTCACCTACTCCCTGTCAGAATTCACAGTTCTTTCATAGACACTTCTCAAGCCCCTCCATGTGCCAGGCACCCGGGTAAAGAAACAGCCTCGATCCCGCCCCTGGTCAGAGGAACCCACAATAAACATGTAAACAGGTAAACCCTGGCCATCTGGGTCCAGCAGGTGGGTTAGTGGTTAAGGTGCTGGATTTCCACATGACCGACTACGATTCAAGTCCTGGACTCAGGGGCTCGACACTCATGCCAGACATGTGTGCATGCATGCCCAGGATCCCAAGAGAATGGAGAAGGGATTGTGGCATGGCCATCCCCCTCCGAGGGGTGATTTCTCACTGTCTCTCCGGTGAGCACATGCACCCTATAGCAAAAATCTCTCATAAAAAGAAACACTGCCTGCCTTGTCTTATTCAAGTATGTCCCAAAGCTACTGTCTAATTTGAAACATGTTCAGTTCAGGACTAACCTTAATGAGCCGCTGGTGTTTCTCCCAAGTAAGTGGAACTGCCATATGGCGGCGATTGGCATTTCGCTTGGTCCACTGGTTTTGAGACTTTTGAATCTTGATGATTTTTTTTTAAAAACATTTTTGGATTTGCATCATTTCAAATGTTACCATGTATGTTTCCTGTGCGAAAAACGACCACGAATGAAGTGGCTTAAAACATATATCAATGTGTCCTCTTACAGTTCTGAAGGCCAGAAGTCTGAAGGAGCTCTCACTGGGCTAAGATCAAATTGTTGGTAGGGCTGGCTTTTCTTAGAGGCTCTGAGGGAGATTCCCTTTTGCCTTCTCCAGCTTTTCGTTGTTGCCAACGTTCTCTGGCTCATGCCTCCTTCCTCCATCTTCAAAGCCAGCAGCTTGACATCTTTAGATCTCTCTCCGACTCTGATTCCCTTCCTCCACTGATTAGGACCC